CCCCAAAACCCCAAAACCCCAAAACCCCAAAACCCCTTCTTGATGATTTAGGATTGAAGAACAATAATAATTTATTACTTATCCATATTTTTGTTGGGGTGTGCTAAAATGCTGATTTTTAAGTTGTGAAAGAAGAACTTCTCGCTTATGCACTCAAAATTATTTTCTTTACTCCAGACTGTATTAATCTTGGTTGTATTTTTGCTCTTGATGTTTATTTCAATCTGGATAAGCCCCCCAGAAATACCTTTGGCAACAAACCTGTCCCTTGGTTACCAATGGGGGCCAGACTCTATGTTCCAGCCACATATGGGCTCGGAAAAGCCTTGAATGGCCTGTGACTCTGAGGAAAAGGCCCTTTCTGGGTTCTATAAGCAGTTTAACGATAGCTCAGACTGGTTCAGTCCCTGTTATGGTAGGGAAATTAATAGAACTGTGATTGCCCTTGCTCCAAGCGGAGACCCAACTATTGAAGACGTTGCTGAGATTGTTACGGAGGAAACTAAACCGTTCAACCTCACTGTGAAGATCTATGATAGCTACGATGAACTATGGGAAGCTCTCAAGCTCCAAAAGGAGCGCATTTGTTTCGGAGCCGTACTTGGCACTGCAGATTATCAGAACAACTTATTTGAGCTTGATTTGATATTTGAAGAGAGGATTGTTGAATCTGAGAACGACTCTAACATTCCTCAGCAGAATTACCCTGTGTATAATTTGGACAAAGTGAGTCTTGATTTTTGGGCTTATCATAAATACAAAATTGGAGGTTACACATACCTGCAGAATGTCTTCTCAAATGTAGTCCTCAGGAAGATAACCAACTCTGAAGGCTCTATCTCCATGGTCGTTGTACCAATGAAGAGCCAAGGATTATTCGCAAATTTCTTGGTTGCAGGTTCTGGAGGAGTACTTGCATTTGGATGCTTCTTAATAATGATCCCTTCTGCATTTATTGTTACCTACTTCACTGTTGAAGAGAAGAGGTCAAAGATAAGAGAACTCATGAAGATAATGGGTCTTAAAGACACTTACTACTGGCTATCCTGGCTGCTATATCACTCGGTTAAGACTACCTTTCATTCAGTTCTGGTAGCTTGCCTGATGATCCCGATTTTCAGGACCACTACATTGGTGTTTTTCTTCTTCTACCTCTGGTTCTACGAGATATGGCTGTTTAGTTACTCAGTCCTGATCGGGTCGATGTTCAGGTCAGGGAAAATAGCTGCGTTTTCAGCATGAATCATCTTGGTAATCATTTCCTTAGCCCCATCCTTCCTTGAGCAGAGGGAGTATAATGAGACTGCCAAGATTTTGTTCTCTTTGATCCCACCAATAGGGATGCAGATGGCTGCTGAAAACATAGTCTTCTTAGAAGCGAGCAGGGAAGGAGTGCAATTTTCAAACTTCCGGGAGCTAATTGACAACTACCGAATGTCTACATTCTACTGGACCACTTTTGTGTCTTCCCTCGTGGTTCTGGTAATAGGGCTTTATCTTGAGAATGTCCTTCCAACTTCTCCAGGCGTCAGGAAAAGTCCTTGGTTCATCTTTACCAAGTCATTTTGGTGTAAAAGGAAGAAGCAACTAGTATTTGATGAGGTAGGTTCATGGCTTCAAGATTTTATATGAGATAACCAAGGTTTTATTAGTATTTCACAACCTGAGTGATCCACTCTTAAGGAATTCTGGGGAAAACTGGCAAAATTTAGAAGAATTTTATACCGAGTGTACTTCTGGTTGGATGTGATCCTGATTGAGTTAATACTTCTACTGAGTCCCAATAATTTTAGATCATTGAATAAAGCCAGATTGATTTTGTGTTGATATCATACTTTTTTCTTTATTCCAAATCTGAAACGATGACTATTATTTGGACTTAGCTTGGAGAATCCCGAGACTGTGTTAAAAAGGTCAAAGTATTGCATCCTATACTGACAAAGCTAAATTTCTTCCTTCAGGCTTATAAAAATCTTCAATCTTCATAAAATGTTAATACTTTTGGTTGCCAAATACTCGCCAGAAAAGATTAGTTTTTGCCAAATTTGGTAAATCTAAAGCATGAAATTTCCTTTTGAGCCCTAATCTTTCAGCCTAGTTGTAAGACTTAACACATGTTATAGGTAGACTTATCCCACCAGGACGACTCTCTTCGAAGGTTGTTTGATACCTCGCAGCATCAGCTGAACTACATCAGGGACTCGTATTTCGAGCCTCTAAGCCAAGAAGAAATAGCGAAGAGAAATAGTGATAAATGTATTCTGGTCGAAGGCATCTGAAAGGAATATGGCAATGATAAGGCCATCACTAATTTTACTACTGAGATGTATGAAGGTCAAATTTATGCACTTCTTGGACATAACGGAGCAGGAAAATCTACAATTGTCAATGTCTTATCAGGCATGGTCGGATTTAGTAAAGGAAGCGGACTTGTATATGGCTATGATGTCAGAACAGAGATGCAAGAGATCAGGAAGATTATTGGGTTCTGTCCACAGAAAAACATACTCTATCCTGGCTTAACTATCCTTGACCATTTATACATCTTCGCACAATTGAAGGGCAAGAAGAAATCTGAGGTTACTCATGAAGTCGATGAACTTCTCTCCGATTTGAGACTTGAAAATGTTCGAAATAAGTATTGAAAGGATATCTCACAAGAATCTAAACGTAAACTTTCTCTAGCAATCTCTCTTATCGGAGGCTCTAAGGTTGTTTTCCTTGATGAACCTTCAAGTTGAATGGATATCGACTCACGTAAGGAGATGTGGAAGATTCTCCACAAGTACAAATCTGGGCGAATAATTATCTTAATCACTCATTACATGGAAGAAGCTGATTTCTTAGGCGATAAGATCGGAATAATGTCCCATGGCCAACTTATATGATCTGGTACTACAGTCTTCTTAAAGGAAAAATTTGGTGAAGGATATAACATCCACTTCGTCAAAGAGAATCGGGAGGAAAATCTTGAGCTAGAGCGGTTTATTACAGATTATTTCCCAGATTCTAACAAAGTCTCTGAGATTAGCCATGAAGCAATTTATCTGCTACCTAAGAACTTGGAGAACCAATTTCCTATATTCTTTAAGGAGCTTGATGCTAGTTTGGACAAACTTGGGGTCTCGTCTTATGAGATTTCGATGACTACACTTGAAGAGGTCTTTTTGAGGATTGAAAAAGAAGCTGACTCTTTTCAAGAAACTGGAGAAGCAACTATTCATAGAAGTGATTCTGAGCTATTACTTCCTAAGATTTATAGTATTGCTAATGAACAGATCCAAGGAAAACTAGCAGTTTTTAGGACCCATTTTTATGCTCTTTTGTGCAAAAGATTTAAAATCACTAGGCGAAGTTTTACTACGATAATGCTTGATGTGATATTACCCTTATTGCTTATATTTTTAGGAATCCTTGGGTATAAAGCTTTAGAACCGAAAGTCTCTTCTCCAAGGGAATTAGGGATATCATTGTATCCAGAGCCACAAAGAATTCTATACAACTCTGAATGTGTCAGAGGTACTGGGGCCCCAGAAGATATCATGCAGTATCTGGACGGTTATGGGGAGTATGTAATCTCTGAACCTGTAGAAACATTATCTGTTGACTCCATTCTTGCTTTAGAAAGATTTGATACTTATGTCTTTAAACATATTGGAGAATACCCTCAGGAGCCGCCACAGTACGGGAGTTATTATTTCCACACTATCGAGCCTGTCAGACATATTTACAAAGTAGCGACTTTGGTGAACTCAACTAGTCAAGAGTCATCGGTAGTGTTCCCTCATGCTGTTTACCAAGCTATCTTGCGGAAAGCATCTGGAGATAGGAATTTACAATTTCGGACGACTACGAAGCCAATGCCGATGAACTTGGAAACTTTTCTTGTTGAAAGGAAGGCAATGACAACTTACATAACTGGTACAGGATCTATTGCGTTTATAATGATGATGGTGAGCACTATTGCTTTGCTCCTGAATGAGAGGGCTCAAAAATTATTTCATTTTCAGTGGTTAAATGGAGTTGGCAAAGGGACTTACTGGGCATCCAACCTGATCTATGATGTTATCAAAGTTTACATTGTATTTGCAATGATTTATGTGCTGCTTAAGATCACATCGGTTCCTGTTCCTTATGTAGGCCTTCTGTTGGCAATTTCTCCCATTCCAATAGTGAGTCATACCTATTTTGTGACACTGTTATTTAAAAATCCTATCACTGCTGCAAATGTTAGCTTCTTACTAAATTTCTTAATATGCGGGGTTGGCCCTTTTATGGTAAACAACTTATTGATTGTCAGAGACTTCAGAGTTCTCAGCATATCTCTAATGTGGGTGCTTCGGATATCACCATTATACTGCCTCATCGGAGGAATTTCGAACATTCTAGTGAAAGACTATGTTGGAGTGCTGTACGGAATCTATGAGCCTTTAGCCCCTTTCTCTGTCAGAGTGGCAGGAGGTGATCTGATATTCCTCTGAGTCCATTTCTTTCTCTGGCCGGGTGTTTTATATGTTTTAGAGTCGAAGTTACTTATTTGAAAGAGGAAGAAAAATTATTATGACAAGCCGAGATACCTCAACTGTGATAAGGAGATTATCGCAGAGAGATCTAGAGTGAGCAAGATTCCTCCAGATTCTCTTGCAGTCAAGCTAGATTGCCCAGAAACTATTATTAAGAAGAAAATGCTCTTGAAAGGAGTAGCTCTAGCTATAGAATACGGTGAATGATACTGCTTGCTTGGCACTAATGGAGCTGGCAAATCAATAGCTTTAAAGATGCTTATTGGCCAAGCTTCCATTTCCCGTGGAGATTGATATATCAACGGCTATAGTAGCAAGAGAGACTTAATAAAGGCACGAAACCAGTTTGGATATTGTCCTCAGGATAATCCGATCTTTAAAAACCTGACTGTAATTGAACACCTTGAGTTCTATGCTCGGGCCAAGAGGATTCCAAGAACTTATCGGGAACAATTGAATCAGGATATTTTGAAGAAACTAAATTTGTTGAAATATAAATAACAAGAGAGCTTGGAAACTATCAGAGGGGAACAAGAGGAAACTTTCAGTTGCAATAGCTTTACTCGGAAGCCCCCCTGTTATGCTTCTTGATGAGCCCTCTTCAGGCATGGATCCCAAATCTAAACGCTTTATGTGGGAAATTATTACTAAGATCAGTGACAATGATGAAAGAGCTTCTGTGGTGCTTACCACCCATTCGATGGAGGAAGCAGAGACCATGTCTACGAACATGGGGATCCTTGTTGAAGGCGAGCTTCGATGCTTCGGCTCAAAACTTGAAATTAAAGAGAAGTTTAACACAGAATACCAGATCGAGGTCAGGTTCAAAGAGCTTACTAATTCCGAAATCGAGCAGATCATCGAACAACATGAAATTATAGACTATCTTGACAAGTACTGCCGAGGTATGTATAAAACTGAAAAAGGCAGCCAAAGAGCCGTCCTTATTAATGACGAGGTCTGTAGAGGGATGCTTACTAAGATATTTGACAATGATTTCGCAGCACAAGAGTTCACTCATAATGGTTTTGGGAGGGACATCCGGTACATTCTAGAGGACAACCAGTATTATCCATTACATTCGTTGATAAAATGGCAGGACTTTATGAGCAAAGTGAAGAAGAGTATTGACTTTTTCGGTAAGTTTACTGTGTAACCTCTTTAGTAAAGAAATTTGGCAAGACATCCCTTGTAGAGGAAATCCTCCCCAAATGTAGATTTAGAGTCCCAAAATTAGGCAAACCTATCGGCAATTTCTTTAATCTTATGGAACGAGAGAAGGAAGATCTTGAAATAGCAGATTATTCTATATCACAAGCTAATTTGGAGCAGATCTTCACCATGTTTAGTGAGAAGAGAAACCATGTATATAAAAGTAGAAGATACGTGTCTCAAGATCTTGATGGTGGAGGCTCCTTTACTCAAACTCTCGACCAAGAAGATCTAGAAGGGATTGAACAGCAATTTATGCAACAAGTGTAAATTTGTGTTATTTTTATCTGAATTTTCAATGAACTTTCATAAACTAGGGGTTTTGGGGTTTTGGGGTTTTGGGG